CTCCCAGACAACTTCCAGATTGATTTGAACAATATTGCACATGGTGTATGATTTCATATCTGTTTCATGAGCATTTAGAAATCATATCAAGCTATAACACGAAGAATGGTCCCCAAAAGACTGTCAACGAGTAGATATGATGAAAATCATGAAACTGTTGAAAGTACATTTGTACATGTGGCTCTGATTGCAGCATACTTCACCACAGCTATCTTCCCATAAATTGAGAATACCGGTACCCTTTATTATAAAGCACCCTCTTATACTAGATAGCTTTGGGCTGTGTGTTAGAATCAGCACCAGAACATCCAGCTTTCAAGGTACAAATACACTTTTTTTCATACTTGTGACTCTATAACCTGTGCTTTCATTACTTATCCATTAAAAGTGTGGATTGCCAACTTCATCTATTAAAAAGCTTTGCTTGTAGACATGTTTTTGAGTCCGGTTGGCATATTGAATTGTTGATGACCTCTTCTGACAGGTCAGAGGCAATTTTACTCTTCACTGCAGAATGCTGTAATATTCCCATCATGATAGTGGGGGGTTACCATTAGTGGCAGTCCTCAGTACAAATGTAGTGATCCACACTTAACTCTTTCTCAGCTCTTGAATTGGTTTAACTCTACTTACCACTTTCAAGTACTAGTACAAGCAATTGAAGTACATGTATTCAGTATATACATGTAGTATATAGTAGAGGGTTTTCATTCCTCAAGCTAACCGACATCGACAGTCGTCCCTCAGTAAGACACCTGGAGCCGCATAGTTCCCATGTAGAACTTTTATTCAGCCTGTCACACAACCAGTTTTGCCTGTGTGGCTTTTTCAAGTGTACAGAGGCTAATGACACAAGCTTAAGTGTACGTAGCAACAAGCAATTGAAGTATTGTTTAGTGCTACACCTAAATTCTCTGCAAAGGATAAATAGTACTGTGGAGAAAAAATAGTAATGAAAATTACAGTCATCACACAATATCTAAAAAATATAATGGGCACATGTACACACACATGTACACTCAACAACATTAAGTTGTTTGATGTAATGTAAGCAGCAGCGCTGTGTGCCATCACAGCTGGTATAATTGCTATGCCGAAGGGTCCTTAAAACATGGCTTACTAATGAGAAATAAGATACTTACATTTTATAACAACCAATATTTGACTAACTGCCACATTAAAAGAAACAACAGTTACTACATTCCTGCAAAGATTTTGAAAGCTTATGAATTTGACTTTTTTGTATAACAGAGACATCAGATTGTATATTTTTTATCCCTTTGCTTTTGGCCCTTGTAATCTGTCCAAAATCACATAAAACTGTATAAATTGATTGGTTTCTATCTCTAAAATGGACTGCTTTGTTTCTACCTCTATGACAGGCTCCAATTTTCAGGTTGACAAGTCTAAATCCCCTCCTGCACACATACATCCTGTTAGGCTCTGTTCTCTGTCAGTCGGTACTTGGCTTGACCAGTGTACTTGTGGGCCCAGTGCGGAGCAGTCATTAGTTAAACCTGGGGTCAGGACTCACAGAGGCAGCTGGACCTGCCAGTCAATTGACCTTTTCCAATGGTTCTCCAAGTAATTTCATCCCTCACTTCACACAGCAAATAGCTCCGAGCCCCGGTTTGATTGGTCGGTTCCACGCTGCATATTCCCGATAAGACATCTCATCCACTCTTCCGGCGGGAGGAGGCTGCGTTTTCTGGAGACACTGTCAGTAGATTATGGTTAATTCTGCAGTTACGAATAACAGCATCATCAACAGGGGGCAATCACTTCAAATCAAGCACTTTAATACTAGTAGTGAGTTTGTCAGCATTGGAACTTCCTTCAACTCCTGTCCCATCTCAATGACTGTGACTCCAGTTGGATATGAAGCCACAATGCTAGGAACTTTTCTCCATAGTATCAAAGTCACAGAATACAATTTTGATCTTTTTGTTATCATCAAAAGATTTTGACTTTAATCAAAAGATCTTGACTTCGCAGGGTGCTATTAGCCATCATTGAGTTTTTGGTAGTGAGAATGATATTAAAATGACATTAAGGTGTCCTTACATCATACATGTATAAGTTATAATGTTTTGTGGCACATCAATATCTACATGACTACTAGATGTAAGTTGTAATGTTGCCAGATTTCATACAGCAATTTGTTGGTCAATGCAAAAGCCTGTATATTCATAACCTTTAGGTTGGCAATGCACAGGTGCCACTTGACATTGAATTTGTGCCATTGCACTTGGGTAAGTTAGAACATCTGAAGGTTGAAAGACGAGTCCTATTACACACAGGTTGGAGATGTCTAAAATGATTCCTATGTGCTAGTTGCAAGCATTAGTCTGAGGAGTTTTCAGAGCTAGATTGAGATTAGTCTCTTGCTAATGTAATGGAATCTTTGCCTCATTTCCTACATCCCAAATGTTAATGGCATCAATGAAGAACTTTCCTCACAGAAAGAGAAATGTGCCCATTCCTACTTATCTGAATTTTTCAGGAAGGCATTTCGACTAATGTGTTTGGGAGATTTTCAATTTACCGCCTACAACCTGGCTCGCAGTATTAAATCTTTCTGTGCCAGCATCGATCCCCTTTCTGTGATAAATAAGTTTCTTCCCCTCCAAATTAATCCCGGTCCACAATTCATCAGGCTGGGTGGTTAGAGACCAGCTGATTTCTGCACCAATGAGTGGAAAAAGGGTGGGAAAGCCAGTGGTAAGGCCACACTAATTTTATTTGTTGGTTCTCGGATCTCTCCAGAAAAAATATGAAGCGACAGGGGGAAAAAAATAAAAATAAAAACAGCTCTAGGCATCCTATTATAGCCCCAAATGCTACGATAGGAGCCATGAAGTCAACACAAAAGGCTGGGTTCATATTTAAACAAGGAATTTTGAACTTTTAATCAAACCACTGCATTGATAGATGGAAAAACTGTAACAACTAGGAAGAAATGGACTTTCCTCAACTGTTGGGGGCAAAATATGAGCATATATATTTAAGTTGATTCAGAACCAGGATCTTTTCTTTCTTTTTGCAAATCAGAAAAAGATGAAGAGGCAAATCCAGGAAACAACAAATTAAATTGGTGTGGCCTAATGACGGGGATACCGCTGCCGTCTCACAACAGGTGTCACATCGCGTACGTTAGCGTACGACAGAGATGCAGGAGATAAAAGCATGGGACGATCACTCTTCCGCCACGCAGCAATTAAAGGGAACTTTGCGGCCAGATCCTTAATTTATGGCAAAAGCATCTCTGGGTGGAAAAAGTTTTAATGATGTGACACGATGACGAATGGATGGGAAAAGTGTACAGCCGCGATGGAAGATTGAAAGTTTCGTGGAGCAGTGGTGCACACCTCGGGACATATTTTGTACGTGCAGAAATGGTGAACTTTATGTGAAGTGAGCAGAATGTGCATCAAAGAACTTCTTGGTCAAACTTTAAGTTCTCGATGCACATCGAGAAGCGTCAAAGGATGGACTGTATTTGAAAGTTTGGTGCAAATTTTGGTGTATACAATTTTTTCAGATTTCAGATTTTCATTTTTTCTTATGTCTTCCCCTTTCAACATTGAAGTTTGTTACCTTTATACAGGCTAACTTTGACACATGAATTTACATTCAATTTAATTTTCTTTTTTCTAAGTTGAAAGTTTGAAAAAAAAGTTTTCTATCATAAGTTATCAGCACAAGATTCATACCATATACCTTCAGCACAATGCCAGGGGTACATGTATGAGTGTTTGGTAATTACCAAACAGTATAAAAGCCATGCATTTTCCATGTGATTTAATTACAAAAGCAACTGCGACAACACACATACATGTAGCTTGAATCTATTTCATAGCCTTACAGATATAGCAGACAGCATAGCCAACAGATTCTGAAATAATCCTCTATCAAAGATATCCCAGGGGAACGTGGTTTAGAGTCCTTAATATCTTAGAAGCATTTCAAACTGTTATCTACTCCAGGAGTCATTTAGATTTATATAAAGTTGACAGGCTGTAGAGCTTCATAATCTCATCTGTGAGTGGGTGACACAGGGATAGTGAGTCCTATGACCACCCATATGGCTCAGGGTTTCTTTTCTACCCTTTAGGCCAGTTGGGCCTATACATGTAGGGAAAAAATGTTGTGTTTCCTGTTTCAGTCGTGAAAAAATTAGGGTCAGTAGGTAGGGATTATCTTTTTTTCTTTCCCATTTTTTTAGACTTCAGTGATATCTAGTACATGTATGTAGGGGTCCAACTTATACAATACAGTTTAACAAAGTAAAACTTGTATGAGGACACTTTTATTTTCAATGTCAATGTTAGAAAACCAATTGACAATTGTACATTTTGTCACTTAGGTGTCAGATCATGGACTTAGAAAAGGTTGATCAGCTCGATAAATCTATGTCCCTTGCAGGGGTCCACCCCCAAAAAAGTCTAGGGTTGGCAAGTTTTCCTCGGGTCGGTCGGGAAACAGGAAACACAACATTTTTTTTCTGGGCCTTGTAGTACATTCAAATGCTCCTCCGTATGGCAGGCACTAAGTATAAGCAAGGGCACTTGGTTGCACAATATCTTTCCTATGAAAACTTCATGATCACTGCTTTTAGAGGAGGCAGGTATCATATGCCGGCGTACTTTTCATCATTCCCAGTAACAGCGGATATGAAGCAGCACATGCCTCTAGTTTTCAGTAGTGTGCTCACTTTACTTTCGTCAGGCTCTGGAATATTAGCATCGTATGCTGGCAATTTTCATTAGACGTGCAGGCCTTGGGGCCTTGCATTTTGGGTGGTCCTCGCAGATTCTTATGACATTATAGCAGCAGTGTAATATATGGAAAATATGAACCTAAGATTTGAAAAATGTGAGAATGACACTAACTGAGTTACATGTATCTTGTTCCACAACCTTAATACAGTACCGAAAGATTTAAGTGGCTCTCCATGAACTTCAAGGTATATCAAAATGGCATTTTCTGTGTTTTCTCAGGCACGTCTGGAGCTGTGTGCGTTACAAGATGCTCTGGCACTCTACAAGACCCCGGAGTCCAGGTAGATGAAACTATATTAATTGTACATGTAGAATTTAATCTTAATAGCAAAACCTTTCACATTGCACAGCTATATGGTCAATTTTTCAAACATACCCAATCTATATGCCCATTACTCACTCTGGTGAGTTTTACGATAGAACAGGTTGACTGTCCGTATGGCTTCAGCCATTGGACCAATGATGATGATGATAGTCAACATGTTAAGGTAAACCATAATTTGGTCCAATTTGAAAGGTTGCGGAAAGTGAGCAACCTTTTACATGCCTGTAGCCATGGGTTCGGACGAACCCCCCCACAAGGCTCAAAGGTCCACTTTTTGATCCACTTTTTATCTAAAGGTCCAAGATTTTTCTTTAAAAGATCGACTGATTCGTGACTCACCAGCGAGGCTGGAATCATAGAAAAACTGCTCACTCTATCATTGAATAAAAAGTTATCGCTGATTTTTTCTTTGACATTCTCTCAAAGTCCTGGCTACGGGCATGTTTTAGAACCAAAATTTGAAGCAGAAAGGGAAGAAAAGGGAAGCAAAAAGTTGATGGAAATTACGTAGAGTGTAGATGACAACCTCAAGGACAAACATCTGCTTGGTCCAGGGAAATTTCATTAGACTGCAAATGATGATTGATCAGGCAGGAATTCACTCCGCACTACACACGAATCTGGTATTAATCATTCATAAAAATGACTAGTTCCTGGCACGTCATTTCCTTTGATCTGCACCGTATCCCTGCATAATGTCATCCAAAACAGATGTTTTATTACACAGTAGACAGACTGCTTATTAGCATTACCAATGACACATGGCTAAACATAACTACCATTGTGATGCCAGTGGTTTCAATCAAATATTCATTCCCTCTCAGAGATTCCATTTCATGTTGTTCACCCCTTTCAAACGATTACCACATCACAGAGTTACCGCCGTGATGACACTGTCAATCTCTCATCTCCTGTATCCAATACCGCGCGCTTTGTGTTACCGACAGATGGCTTTATTTGTTTATGATACAGGTTTGTGTGTTAACTGCCCCCTGGCATGATATTCCAACATTTTCCATTTTGCTGAAAGCCCCGTAATGTCGCCCCTGAGAAATGCCATGGCTGTGCCGTTATTAAAAGTGTAATTACCAACTTTCTTTGATCTTCGCCATACTGTTCTCTCCATGCTGTAATGTCCCATAATGAGCCCTTGTGATATTGCCTGTTGTAATGCTAACCTTCCACTAATGCCTGTTATCTTGCTGAGGTTCTGTAAATTGTTATTGGTTACTTGGGAGTCTCCGGGCAATTTTTGTTCGATGTTCCTGCTGAGTGTATTGCGTAATGTTGCATGGAAATTCTTCCATCAGAAACTCAACAATGTATTTTGTAAAACCACGAGCAGTTGAAAAAAGAATCGTCACTTTTTTTATATTGATATGATAGTTGTTAGATTTACAACATCATAAACCAAACTGTCAAGAATCATCAATATGGCTTAAAAGTTATTTCTCTAATGAGTTCACCTTTAACAGCCATTGACATGTTGAAAGTAAAAGTGCCCATGTGTGATGATCTTTCACAATTTTCTCATAGCCATTTTTGGGGTAGGGGAACCACCCTAATATTGGTCTGTGATCACTCAGTAAGCAAAAACAGCCATGTTTATGTTTATTCCTTGTAAATGCCTCCGGCTATTTTAACAACAAAAGAGCCCCAGTGATCCCCTGACATCTGCTTCATCATGAACAAGTTAAAGATCCCATCTGCAAAGCATAATTTTCTACAGTTAAACTGTTAGATACGATTTTAGAGGTGAAACCAGTCTGTTCTTGTGAAAAACATTTTACTGAACAATTTCAGTGATGTCTGTTCATGCTTGATATTGACTCAGAATTGATTTGGAATAAAAACTGCCAAATTTGTCAAATATAAATGCCACATTTTCTCAGCACCCCTTTATCAAATCTTTCAAGAAAGAATAATTCAGTGTTGTATCACATATCTGTAATATGTTACATTTGTACATGGACCTATTAGGATTGCTTGTACTTTATTAAGTACAAGTTTAGTCTAAACAGGACAACATTCCTTAATGAATAAGCTTCTAACGTTAAGAGTTCATCTAGCCAGTCTAGAAAGTTTTGGAACAGCGGTATTTTACCTTGAAGTCTTTATACATGTATGTTAAGAGTCTTCATATATGAGGATGTGAATGGCAGAAATATGAGCCCTATTAGCACTATAGTTGTGGTTTGAGCAGCAATAACAGTTGCAACCATAACTGTTTGACAAATTGCTACACAACCTTTAGCATCACAATAAAAACCTAATGACTTGGATGTGCCACGACTTCATAAGGCGAGATCAAAGCTCAGCCGTCAGCTTTGATATGCAGCTTAACAAGTTGCCAACGTGATATTTTCTACTCATTCATCACCTACCCATGCACTGGGAGAAGTTCAACAGCCGCCTACAGAGTTTTAATTTACAAACTTTACCCGTTGGTTCTTAAGCATCCCACTGTAACCATTGGCTGATACAGAATATGGGGATGCTCCCTGCCTCTATGATATAGCCGCGTAAAGATGATGCTCTCAATAAAACGTTATGTCAAGTGGTTTTATGTTAATTGTTCAACAGTTCGTACATAAAGAATATGGCCACTTGCAAAGTGGCTGTAAAAAGCGCGGGCTGTACGGCGGCAGAAGTGCTCAGATGTGATGACACCTATTGGAGAAATGGTCAATGGCTGGTAGCCGGGGTGCCAAGATTTACTGCAACTCCCATGATATTTTACTGTGCGTTGGATGAAAAGGGCTGTTTTTGTGGCTTTCTCTCCTGTTTTGTGGTCAATTTTAATACAATAAGGGGCAACCAAAAAAGAGTTGTGGGATTGCTTGAAACTTCACAAAAAAATTGACAAGAGAAGAATAACGAACACCAGAATATTGACAGAAAAAGGTACAAAGCATACCTTTCTTTAAGAAATACTCCCCAATAATCCTTCCAGGTTTACTTAGTCCCTCATCTGTGCTAGGCACCAAAAACGAGGTGTGACCTTACACGTATGTTTATACTTTGAAAATAATCAATTTGGACATACTGGTACAAAGTCAGCAACACGACATTACATGCAGTGTTGGTTTACCCTGTTTCCTGGTGTTCTTACAGTAAATCCTTCCATGATGCCTTGCAAATAGTTCCACCTGTCACCAGTGCAGCAGACAGAAAGTGAGGAAACTTCTTTTTTTCACAATTTTGATTATGATAATCTTGTAAATGCCTATATCAACCTCAATATTAATTAGATAGATTGTATTTCATTTGGGTTTTTTTTTACATCTACATTCTTCAGTACTGAAATATTATACTAGTTCATGTTCCTTGAACGTAATTTTTTTTCTGTGACATTATGTTCTGTTTTTTAAGATAAGATTTGTATCACCATTCCTATAAAAGTGTTAACGGTAATCCTTGTTTTTCTTGCAGAAATCTAGAGGAGCTTATGAACAAGTTCAAGAGCAACATGCAGTTGCAGCTAACCTGCTTCAGGAGTGATTCACTGAAGAGGACACTAGTCTGACATGTCTAAGGTAAAAAAAGCCCATCACTTGTCGTTCTGGGCTTGTTGAACCTGTGAAATTTCAGCTTTGCGTTTCGTAGAATTATGATTTGGATTTAAAAAATCAGAATGAAAACAAATTGATTTTTTTGACACAGCATCCTGTGTGTTACGCGGATAAAGGTTAGACATCCAGGTAATACGATACGCCATGCAAAGAGCAGTTACTCAAGCAACTGGATATGATTTTGTGTGTTGTGATGGTAAGGCAGTGAAGTTGCCTCTCTTGTTCTCTTGCAGACAAATGCATGTACTAGACATTGTCGTGAGGCTTACAATGGAGGTTAAATGGAGGTGGTTGCAGCACCCTGGGATTTTTTCCAAGCTCCTTGTGGGTTCAGGGAATGCTTGCCACAATCACTTTCCTTGTACATAAGTTATGGTGACATCTCGACTGCTATATTCTAGCATCTTAACTGCAATATCTAAGCTCCAAACACAGTCTTAGCAGAAATGAATAATCTTAAATGCTATGAAATGAACTAAAGGTTCATAATAAACCATTAAAATGTCGGTGAATTGATGTACAATTGTTAATTTTTGTGATGAATAAACACAACAAGATCATTCAGACATAGAAAGACTGCCCAGGCCAGGTAAATTTCACACCAAATGTAAAACTGAAGGTGTGAAGTCGTACAAGAGAAATGG